TCAGTTGCTGTCAGTTTAGGTAGGTTGTGAATTTCTAAATATTTGTTATTTCCTCTAGATTTTCATATTTGTTTTAATTTTTCATAATATTCCAATGTTAGCCTTTTTATTTTAGTTGGTTTTGTTGTGACGTTGCCCATTTGTTCTTTTATTCAGATTATTTGTCTTTTCCTTCTTTTGTTAGTTTGGCTAGTGGTTTGTCGATTTTATTGACCTTTTCAAAGAACCAACTCCTTGTTTTGTTAATGGTTTCAATTGTTTTCCTGTTTTCATTTATTTCTGCTCTAATTTTTGTAATTTCAGGTTTTTTAGAGGGTGTCAGGTTTTCTTGCTGTTCTTTTTCAATTTGTTGGAGATGCTGGATTAGAGAGTCAAGGGTCATTTTTTTCCCTGCCTTTTGATATGTTTGCTTATTGCTATAAATTGACCTCTGATTACTGCTTTGGCTGTTTCCAAGAGATTTTGGTAAGTGGTATTTTCATTGTCATTTGTTTCAAGAAACTTTTTTATTTCATTTTTTATTTCCTCTAGTACCAAATCATGTTCAAACAAGGTGTTGTTCAGCTTCCAAATGTATGGTTTTTTTCTCCTTTATCCTCTTGTTACTAATTTCAAATTTTGTAGTATTGTGGTCTGAGAAGATGCTTTGTATTATTTCTATGTTTTTTTTTAATTTATTGATGCTTGCCTTGTAACCTAAAAAATGATCTATTCTGGAGAATGTTCCATGCATACTGAAGAAGAAGGTATACTGTGTTTTTTGGGGGGCAGGGTGCTGCATTAGCATATAAATATCTATGAGGTTGAGTTGGTTTATTGTGTGGTTTAATTCTTGAGCATCTTTGTTGAGTTTTTTCATGGTAGTCCTATCTTTTTTTAAAGGATGTGTTTTGATGTCTCCAGCTACTACAGTAATGCTGTCTAGTTCCTTTTTCAGTTTTGTTAATGTTTGTTTTATATATTTAGAGGTCTTTCATTTAATGCATAGATATTATTGTTATGTCCTCTTGTTCTACTGACCCATTTAGCACTATGTAGTGATCTTCCTTGTCCATTGGGATGGTTTCTGCACTGAAGTTTCTTTTATCAGAGATTAATATCACTACTCTTGCTTTTTTTCTACTTGCCATTTGCTTGGTATTCTTCCCGTCCTTTTATTTTTAGTTCTTCATTTTTTCAGGTATGTCTCTTGTAGACAGCATATCAATGGATTTGGTTTTGTTTTGTTTTTTTTTTTTAACCAATCTGCTACTCTTTTTCTCTTCAATGGTGCATTCAAACCATTCACATTCAGTGTGATTACTGAAAGTCAGGGTTTTACTGCTATCATTTTGTTGAGTTCTTTTTGGTATTGGTGTTAGTTATTTTGGTCCATTGTGCTTTCCATGGCAGGTCTGTAAGAAGGACATATCTCAGTGTTTCCTGCAATACTGGTCTTGTTTTTATAAACTCCCTTATATTCTGTTTTTTTGTGGAATACCTTGATCTCTCCTTCATATCTGATGGATAATCTTGCTGGGTACAGTATTCTTGGGTGATTGTTGTGGTCTTTTGAGTGTTTGATATGTCTTTCTACTGTCTTCTTGCTCGCATGGTTTCTGCTGAGAAATCTGCACTTAATCTTATCTGCTCTCCCTGATATGTTACTCTTTGTTTCTCCCTGGCTGCTTTCAGGTTTCTCTCCTCTTTAGTTCTGGCAAATTTGACTCTGATATATATGCCTTAGTGATTTTCTTTGAGGTCTATTCTATATGGTGTTCGCTCAGCTTCTTGAACATATATTCTCTCATTCTTCATTATGCCTGGGATGTTTTCTTCTAGTAATACTTCCACAACTTTTTCAGTGCCTTTACTTGCTTCATCCTTTTCTGGGATTCCGATGATGCGCATGTTATTTCTTTTGATGGTGTCCCACATTATTCTTGGGTTTTCTTCTTTCTCCTTCCTTTTTGATTCTGCTTTTTGCTCTAGCAGAACAGTGGTGACAATTCTATCTTCTATTTCACTTGTTCTGTGTTCCATCTCTTCAACTCTGTTCATATGTCCCTCCATCATGTTGACAGCATCTTGGACCTCAGATTTTAGATTGTGGTTTCTTGTTTTTCCTGTGGTTTCTCGTTTTTCCAGTGCCACTAATGCCTTGTTTGTTTTATCTGCATTGTTCTGAATTGGTTTTTAAAGCTCCTCCTGGTTTTTGCTTGCAGTGTCCTATAATTCTTCAAGTTTGTGTCTCATCCACTGAAAATATTCAATCATTGTTCTTTTGAATTCTGTGCCAGAAAATTCCATCAGACTTTCTGGCTTCAAGAAATCCACTGATACTGTGTCACCTTTTGGGGTGACATCATGTTTTGCATTTGTGTAGGGTGTGAGAGAGCCTGCTTCTTTTGTGACATTGACACGTTCTTGATCTGAAGACAATGCTCTAATAATTGGTATGGCAGCTACCCCACCTGTGTTTCTTTCTGAACTTCTGACTCAAGGGAAGGTTTGGTTCAAGGCCTGTGAGAGCAGCCTCTTGTAGCTAAGTTAGATCAAGGTGCTCCAGATTAAAGGTAAGTTTATTGGCTGACTTGGGTATGGAACCAAATGGGAGGCAGGACAGGCATGGGGCTGGGCAACCATGAGAGTGGGGCAGAGACGTCACTCAGATTTCAGCTGTCCAAGTGTGCTCACAAGTGGGGCCACTACTCAAATTCCAACTGTCCATCTCCCACCCAAGGGCTCTCACTCAGCAGTCCTTGCCTGGTGGCCCTCCTTCAGGTGCCCAGGCCCAGTGACCCCTGGGTGCAGTGGAGCTTAAGAAAACTCAGTCAAATTCCTACTGACCCACTTGCTCCTGGCTGGTTGGCGGTGCCTGAGAAAACTCCATCAAATTCTTACTGACCTGCTTGTTCCTGACATGTGGTTCCCACAGTGGTTCAGCTGGAGGCTTCGGCCAGGGCCCAGTTTGTAATTCCTTGGGCTCCCAAACTAACTATTTTAGTAAATGTTCTGACTCAAATTCTTACTGTCCGCACCATGCTGCGTTGGTCTCTGTGTGCCATGTCAGTCTGTTGGCCCGTATATATGCAACTTGGTGCTCTTCCAGCTCCTTATGCTGCTTCCTCCACTGCTTCCATCTTGCTCCACCTCTAGTCCATTCATATTAAGTGTAATTATTGACAGGCCAGGTTTTATAGTTACTATTTTGCTATGTTTCTTTCTTTGTTGTTTCTTGTTATTATGGTCCATCCACTTTCCTTAGTGTCTCTGAGTAAAGGACTTTCCTTAAAAACTCTTGTAGGCTTGGTCTTGTTTTCACAAATTCATTAAATTCCTTCTTTTCTGCAAAGAATATGATTTTTACTTCATATTTTATGAAGAGCTTTGCTGGGTATAGGATCACTGGTTGGCAATTGTTTTCTTTCAACTTTCTGTATATGATACCCCATTGTCACCTTGCTCTCATGGTTTCTGCTGAAAAATCAGAACTTAATCTAACTGCTTTTCCTTTGTAGGTGACTGTTTTTCTCATGTTGCTTTCAGTATTCTATCCTTATCTTTTATTTTGGAGAATTTGACTATGATTTGTCTTAATGTTTTCCTTTTTTGGGTCTAGAAAGCAATAGTTTAAAAAATATTCAGAACATTAAACTACACCATCCTTAATATAGTCCTAAAATTCTTTTACTTTTATTTGCCAATGTAAATATTCTGAGAGTGCCTTTCCTCACATTGTTTGAGTTTTTTTCCTAGACTCTAAACAGAGAACTGAGTGATCAAAACTTTTCACATTAACACTCAATACTATTGTTATTAGGTGTCATCAAGTTATGTATTACCTCCAGGAACACTACAAACAACAGATGTGAAGTCTGCCCTATCCTGTGCCATCCACATACTTCATACATTAACCATTACCTGCTCATAAATATATGGGTCCTAATTAATGTCTGTATCCAAAAAATCATTAGCATTTATAATAGCTGTCCTTGTGTTATACATAATTCAAAGGTACAGCATATCTCTAGTGACTTGGTGGTAAGGAACTGGGCTGCAATCCAAAAGCAGGCAGTCTGAATCTAACAGCTGCTTCTTGGTAGTAAGATGGGCAGTTCTCTCCCATGTGACTCACTGTCTGCAAAAACCCACTGTTGTCAGTTATGAGCTGATTTCAACTTGGTGGTACAACAGCAATGACAATAGTATACGTAAAATTTAATCAGAATATTTGAATAGGCCATACATTATGAATATATAAACATGTCATACTTCTATGAAAGCACTGTGTCTAATAGTTTAATCTTTTGAGAATATTTCCAATGTTTATTTCTCATTAACAAACAAGGAAACAGAAAATTCTGCATGATACATAGAAGTGAATAATAAATTGCCAAAATTAAAAAAGTAATTAAAAAAATAAAAAAGTAATTTATGTTAAGTGCTTTGAGTTCTTCCTCCTTTGTATCTGATGACGATAATTTCACTTGTATTTTTAAAGGGTAAATATTTTTTAGAGTATCTTATGTGTTGTATCTTTTTAAGCAATTCAAAACGGTTTGTGAATAGAGATTTATTGTACAGCCTTATTCTTTCTGTTAACACAGTAGAGAAAAGACTTACTGTGACAAGTGACAGCTCTGAGTCCAAAAGGTATAAGAAAAGTTTTTGTTTAAGATACCTATTTATCAAAAGTCCCTAGCTTATAAATGAATTTTAACCATTAAGTGCAGCAATTAACTCAGTAATTTTAATAATTTAGTGACATCTAATCATTTAATATTATTAGTGACATTTAATAATTTAGTTATATAAGTAGTCAAATGTTTGTCTTTATACTGTATAATGTACCTCATTTGAATAAAAAGTAAAAGAAATAAGAAAACATCTTTAACAACAAAGTAATTTACTAATTATGGTATTTGGGGAAAAAATAAGGAAACAGTGGCTTTAAGTATCAGGAATCTCTATGATTTATTACTTCGAATTTAGGATAAATAACAGTACAACTATTTTACCGAAGCTCCAGAAGTGTCCTGAAACCCTTCTCCACACCTGAGCCAGTCTTCAGAGAGTGCAGCAGCTGCCCCCACAGGCCTGAGACTTGCTTCTCTGACTTGCAGTCCTGGCTCTCTTGGAAAGGGAAAGCATTTTGAATCCCAATTTCTTTTTCTCTGTAGAAAAGATTTTGAAAGAGAGGTAAGAAAACATCTGTGAGATATCATCTCATCCTAGTAAGAATAGCAAAATTTAACAGAGCAGCAAGCAACAAATGTTGGCGAGGTTGTGGAGGGACTGGAACCCTTATTCACTGTTTGGTGGGAGTGTAAAATGGTGCAACCACTATGGAGGGCAGTATGGCACTTTCTCAAAAAGCTGGAATAGAAATACTATTTGAGCAATTCCACTACTGGGAATATACCCTAAAGAAACCAGAACTGCCACCCAAGCAGATATATGCACACCATGTTTATTGCTGCTTTGTTCACAATGGCAAAGAGTTAGAAACAGCCCAAGTGCCCATCAACAAACAAGTGGATAGAGAAGCTGTGTTATATTGAAAATGGAATATTATGCAGCACTGAAAACCAAAGAACTCATGAAATATAAAATGGGTGACCATGGAAGACATTCTGCTGAGTGAAATATCTCAGTCACAAAAGGACAAATTCTGTCTTATGTCACTGTTATAGAACAGGACTGACATGGGAGTTGGGGAAAACTAAGAAAAGAAGGGATAAATTATGTACATTGCATTGAAACAGACATGGGAGAGAACATTTGAATAGGTATTACCGACATAATAAGAGTCCAGAATAAGACTATTAAAGGGACATTTGAATAGGTATTACTGGCATAATAAGAGTCCAGAATAAGAGCTGCATAGTAAAGTAGTTGGGGGAGAGGAGACTCTTTAAAAATGAAAGAACTTTTCTTCCAGAGAAAAAAGTGAACTGAGGGAGGGGAGACAGGGAGGAAAATGTGTAACAATGGAGGAAAATAAAAAGAATATGTTAAACCTATTAATACCAAATAAAGTATACATTTTGTAAAAAAAAAAAAAAAGAGGTAAGGAAAATAACTTAATTAAAAATACACTAAATGAACATCCAGGAAGAGAACAAAAGCCCAGTTTCTTAATGTCTCTGAATGTTCATATAAAAACAGAAGCTTGAGAGAAAACCTTAAACATATACATAATTCATCTTTGTTTGTTTGTTTAAATAGGTCTTAAAATCAGTTAATCAGCTTCAGAAAATAAATCTATAAGGACAATCAATAACTACTCCTTAAAGTGTAAAGGTAAATCGAACAGCAGTTATTCATTCACTAGAGCATTGTTACTGTTGTTATGTTTCATTAAGTCATAGCAACCCTATGCACAATAGCTCTGAACCCTGTCCTATCCTGAGCCAATCTCACAATCTCCAACACACCTGCCCCTCTTACCCTGATCATCATGTCAATCTATCTCATCCAGGGTCTTCCTCTCCTGTGGTGTCGATCTACCCTTCCAAGCATGATGTCCTTCTCCAAGCACTACCCTTCCTGGCCATGTGCCCAAAGTATGTGAGATGGAGCTTCAAAATCCTTGCCTCCAAATTTCACCCTCTCCAAGCTTTTTCTCTCGAGAGTCCACAGTAAGAACAATACTCTTCTACAGCACCACAACTCAAAAGCATCAATTATTCTTCTGTCATCCTTATTCAAAAGCCAGCTCTTTTAATGCATAGCAAAGTAACTACAAAGATGTAGGCCTAGGATCAGGCACACCTTAATCTCTAGAATGACATCGTTAATCTTTTTTAAAAATTTATTTTATTTATTTTTCATTTCAATGAACATCTACAGAGATTTTGGAATTCCATTCATTCATTGTTGCACCCTTCTCCTCCCCACCATATCTCACCCCTCCCCCCCTTTACTCCTCTCCTT